CTGCTGCCCACCCCTGTTGGAAAACAATGCCCCCCAGAAACAGCCCTACACACAATGACCCACGCCTCTCAGCTCTCTCCCACCATTCCGCAGCCCCAGCCTCCACCCTTCACCCTCTGTCATTCACTGCCGCACAGGTCCAAATAGAACTGCTTAAAATCAAGCCGGGGAAGGCCTGCGGACCAGACAAGCTCCAGGCTCCTTCGCTCTTGCGCAGATGAACTCTGTGGCCGGTACCACAGATCTGGAAGACCTCCTGTGTGGTACCAGTGCCCAAGACACCACGGGCCATAGACCTCAGCGACTTCAGGTTGGTGGCTTTAACATCCCACTGCATGAAGACACTGTAGAGACTGGTCCTGGGATATCTCCACTCCACTCTGACCTCAGCGATGGACCCGCTGCAGTTTGCCTACCAGCCGGGCATCGGAGTTTTGGACACTATCATCTCCCTCCTCCACTGTCAATGTCCCACCTAGAGAAAACAGGCTCTGCTGTGAGGATCCTCTTTTTCGAGGATTTCTTCAGCACATTCAACACCATCCAGCCACGGCTTCTCAGGGACAAGATGGAGACAGCTGGAGTGGATTACAACCTGTCCGAGTGGATCCTGGACTACCTCACAGACAGACCCCAGTTTGTGAGAACCAGAGACTTTGTGTCTCATGTCCTGACCTGCAGTGTGGGGGACAGTCCTGGCGCCGTTCCTCTTCACCCTCTACACTGCGGACTTCAGACAAAACTTTTACAGTTGTGTCCTACAGAAGTTCTTCGATGACTCTGCCATCATCGGACTCAGCTCCGAGGACAATGAAGCAGAGTACAGAGGAGTAATACAGGACTTTGTGGACTGGTGTCAGCGGAACCACCTCCTCATCAACGCAGGGAAGACCAAGATGGTGGTTGATCTCCGCAGATGTCACTCTGCCGCCCCAGCCCCCGTGAACATCCAGGGAAGAGACATTGAGGGAGTGGACTCTTACAAGTACCTGGTTGTTCATCTGAACCACAAACTGGATTGAACTCGCAACACAGAGGCATGCGCGGACAAGAGCCTGCTGCAAGTTGCATCACTCCCTCCTCCCTGCTGAGGAGGCAGGGGACATTCTTGAAGACCTTCTATGACGTAGTCTGCTGGAGCAGCAGTATCACAGAGCGGGACAGGAAGAAGCTGGACAAGGTCATCAGGAAGTCCAGCACTGTCCTGGGCTGTTCCCTGGACACAGTGCAACAGGTGGGGGACAGGAGGATCCTGGACAAACTAACATCTATCAGACTGTACAACAAATAATGAGGACTAATGAACACTGCAATCCAGATCTTACATATCCTGTGTCGGTGCAATATCCTTAACTAATATCAATATTCAATATAGAACCACATGTGTCACTGTCACTTTAATGAGTCGCTGTGTCCCAGAGCCTCATGCTGCTAATTTACAGATGTAAACATACAGCTGCAAACATGTAAAGATGTAAACATATAACATATTGCTGCACTAGAATACACAGTACTTTATACTTGCCTTGTATTTTACCAAATGTCAAATTTTTATACTTCTTTATTGTGTTCAAGATAGAGATTTTATCCTTGAGATTTTGTTTTATTTTAATTAGTATTGTTATTGTTCACTAATCTTGTGCTGTTTGCTCCTCATTGCTACTGTTCTGTAACTTGTGATACAACCCTGAAATTTCCCTGACGAATAAAGGATCTCTTAATCTTAATCAATACAACACTCAAAACTTGTCAAATTATAGGCATTTTGTGCATATAGTTGATGTCACCTCTATTGGAACGAGTGGATCCAGAGAGGAGTCTGCTCCTCTGCCTGTAACTACGTTGATCTCCAAAAATAAAGGACTTAACGCCTCGACTGATGTCCAGCAGCATTTAATTTCATACAGGCATTTGGAACACAGTGAAAACTACAAAGATAAAGGAGAGCTTGTTGTAAATTTCCATACAGTAAATCACACATCGTTACAGGTCTCAAAATAAAAGACACAATGAAATAAAAAGGGTTACTACCAATCGTAGAATTATACTCTTTCCAAACTGCAAAAACATCTCTTTTTAACAGCATACTTTAAAATACTTCTCAATTTCTTATTTGACAAGCAAACTTAAACAGCAGCAAAAATGATTTGAGTTGCCATGGCAACCAAAGCGCCAGTTATACTCAGCTATAACTTGAGTTGTCATGGTAACCTTAGCGCCAGTTACAGTGACCCACCCGCACGATTGTGTAGCCTCTTGCTAAGTTTGAGGTAAACAAATCAGCGAAAGCGAACTGTACAGCTTTTGCTGTTACATAGTCATTTCAGACCTAAAAATAACCTTTTCAACCTACGGCAACTACGGCTACCTTTTCAAGGTAACCGTAGTTCTGGAACATTCTTTTGTGAAATGTCACCCTCACTTGCATAAAAACATGTTACTTTTTGTTGCAGATTTCAGAGGCAGATCCTTGTGAACAAAGTCGATCCCCATTCGCCTCAGTCTTCATCTTTGTATATTTACACCCTAAAACACATTATTTCCAAGGTCAGATTAAAGGAATAGGCCACTGTTTTTACACACTGACATATGTTCTTACCTTACCTTAGGCCCCGTCCCAATTCTCACCCTTGCCCCTAGGTGTGAGTGCCCTCACCAGCAAAGTACCTTCGCAGTGGGGAGTGCACTCACAACATTCTCCCTAAGAATTGGGACACCCCTGGACCAAGGGGACAATATGCAAATGACGCAGCAGACGTGTTCCACGTCACACACATTATCAATGTGTCTGATTTCACCACAGATAAGATCTGACACAGATATGACTTTATGAAACACTGAATTTATTAAAATGAGAAGTTTTTCATTCTATTTCATATGAAGTTTTGCTATAATTATGTACAGAACTTCTGCACATCACGCACTCAGAGACAGACGCACACAGACACATGTACATACACATACGCGCACAGAGACGTACCACACAGACAGACACATGTACAGACACATACGCGCACAGACACAGACGGGTACAGCCGCGGTTCCGCAGATCATAAAGCAAACTGTGTCAAAGTGATGCTCTGAACTACATTATGAAATTATAATAATAACATGGATCCACGTCTCTGAAGCCTCACGCCACACACTGCAGCCGCTTCGGGAGCGAACGTCACCGCACACAGCACCAACACACGCTTTAAAAATTCTGAAAGACACACACGCTTTGGAGGTTGCTCATGTTCCGCACAAACTTGCGCGTGGGTGTTTCATGTTGTTTTCTTTCATTGTGGCGCGGCTTTGCCTCACAGCTGCTTTACCAACAGCTATCGTAATGCATCATGGGATCACAATCGCTCGCAAGTGAGCTCCGGACCTCACTTGGGCTCAAGGGTGGTTTTTAGGGGTGTGAAGGCCCTTGCCTCTTCTCCCTAAGTATTGGGACACCCTTGCACTCCCGCGGGCACGCGCAAACTCTAGGGCAAGTGTGCTTTTTAAGGGCAAGGGTGAGAATTGGGACGCTACAAAGTATAGTAACACAGAAATGTAATAATACGAGGAGCACTACGTCCGCGCACTAACTCTATTGAGTCACGCTGCTTCTATTGACGGAAGTGAGCGGGAGAGAAGTCTTTAGGAGTTAGTGCGCGGACGTAGTGCTTCTTGTATTATTACGCCTCACAATATAGTACCCCTTTTTATCCGCTGAGAAAATTGACATGTTACATTTCTGTGTTACTATACTTGGTAGTGTAACACGTCACGTAACTGTATTTAAATAGGGAACACGTGGAAGAGTTTGGTAGCTTCTAACAGGAGCTGTTTTGGTACTAGACAGTATGTGGAAGAGGATGCGTACATATCAACTAGTCTAAGGTAAGGTAAGAACATATTCAGTATGTCAGTATGTAAAAACGGTGGCCTATTCCTTTTTCCTAATTTTATGAAGGCCAAATAGCACTGTAATCATGTTTAAACAACAGAAAAATACAAAAAATGTTATATGGCACCTTTAAGACATTCTCATCAATGCACCAATGTACAGATCACACACTGCATTGTTCACAAATTCTGGAATGGGTACATCTTTGGTTTGTTTTAAGCCACACTTTGAACTTGAGTTCCACAGTTTGGCCGTCTTTGTGTCTCCCTTAAGCAGATGCTTCATACCTCTTAAGCCCAGAGGCCTTTTTTCCCGAAAAAGCTATAATCTACATTTACTAAGGTTTCATATAGTATTTAGCCAGATATGTGGCCAAACTTGGTACCAAATTACCTGGTGGACCTTGGGGATTGCTGTGGAAGTGAAATAAAGATGATAAATTGTATTGGTTGACAATAAAATGAGGTTGAAACAGACAATTCTAACTTCCGCCTAAAAAAAAACTACATATTTTCCCTCAAAAAAGCTTTTTCCCTGTCTGTGGTGTAGCAAATAAGAACAAAAATTGACAGTTCCCGATATTTTGGACCAGTCCAGCAAAAAATGTGCCAAATAAACAAACCACTGCAGAGTTGTACATGGAATTGGAAAAAAAGTCCAGGCGGAATCCAACTGTGCCAAAATTGTGCCAAATGGCACAAAACATGTCTGTAGAGTCATCGAGATAAACTTTGGCACCCGGTTCCCTAGCAAGAAGCTCTACAACCTCCTCGCGTGTATAACGCTGTTTTGCCATCTTTTACTTTCGTCAAAATTCCGAGTACTGCTCTACCTGCCGTGCGTAAAGGGTTTGCGCACAGCCTCCTTCTGCCCCAACTATACGCATGTACACGCTTCCGCGGTACTTTGGCCAATCAGGGCATGTCATACCATTTTGGAAAGAAGACACCTTTGGCTATCAAAAACCATTGAAAACGTATTGATGGACAGCACCTGTGGCCAATCACAGGAAGAGATACACAGAGGTACGTGACATGACGCACGGGTGCAGCCTATCACAAAGGGCCTCTTACAGAAGGAGGAAGTAACGGGTATCTGCCAGATCGCTAGAAAGCCTCGCTTATGAGGTTGAATACAAGACCCCACTCCCCATCCAACCCACCACCACCCACCCAAACCCCAAAAACCACCAACAACCAACAAACACAACCCAAAACACCCCACACCCCCCCAACACACCAAACCCATATAAACCCCCACCCATACCCACACCCAACACCCCCTCCCCCATCCAAACAATCCACCATCCCCTCCAAAAACACCACAAATCCACTCTACTCTCACCATCAATTAACCCCACTTAATCTCTTATCTACAAAAATAATAAAATCTACATTTAAACCACACCCACAACACCCCCCCAACTAAAAAATAAATAAACACCCCCCCAACTTCCCTCCCCACTACCCAACAACACACCTACTCCCCCCCCCCCCATCCAACTACATCCTACCCAAAATCACTACTCATCTAAACCAAGATACACTCTACTCCCCCACACCCCCCCTAATATACCCCCAACAACAACCTCCCTCAAAATAACTCTTCAACTTTCCCCCCAACACCTAAATCTTCTCTTCCCTATCAAACTATTAACCCCCCTCCCCCCTCCTTATACAAATACCTCACTCCCACTTTTCCTTCCTCCATCAACCCCCCCCATACCCCATCCTCTCCCCTAACCCCCTCAACCCCTATCCCCTATTCATCCCTCATCTCACTCTCCTACTCTTCCTCCCCTCCCTAATTCTTAATAATCCCCCCCATTCACAAACTTCCACTTCACCCCTATACCCCCTCACTCAACCCCCCTTCTCACCTCCCAATCCTTATCAATCTAACCCACCCCATCCCCACAATTACAACACATCTCCATATACATATTAAACCCACTCACCCTAATATTATAAAACATATACAAACAAAAACACCCTCCTAATATAAAATCTCCACAATTAATCCCCAAACAAAAAAAAAATTAACACTCAATCCCTCCCCCAAATTCCAACACCAATCATAACCTTCCTATCCCAATAAATTACACTCACTCTTAACTCCCTTTCCCCCCCCCAACCACCCCCACCAATACTTAAATCTTCTCCCATTACTCTATCTACCACACATACATACTCTACAAAAAACAACAACCCAATCATCCAACCCCACCAACAAATCTCTCTCCACAAAACACACCTCAATCTATAAATTTATAAACATCAACAACCTAATCTCTATATCTATTTATAAACCTTTCATATTATCATACACAACCCCACCCAAACCACAAACCAATATACCAACCCCCCCAAAAAAAAAAACAAAATTCCTACCCTCACAAAACAAAACTCCCACAAAAACAACAAATTCTCATACCCTCATTAATATATCAACTTTCACTCTCAATCCCACCCACCCCCATCCAACCATAATTTCCACAATTCCCTCCACCCTCCATACTTTCCATACCAACAATCATATTTCCCCACATAACAAAAACCCATACCCCCCCCATCCTCCCAAATAAATCCCACCCAACCCCACCACCATCCCCCCCCCCACATCCCACTTCCCCCCCACCCACTCAACCCCCCCCCCCCTTACCAATATCCCTCCCCCATTCCTCATAATCCCATTTCCATCATACCACTCCCCATTTCCCATCTCTCCATTCACCTATTCATCCTTTCCACTTTTCAATATATCTAATTAACACATATAAAACAAAATTAAATAAAACCCAAAAAAAATAATAATAAACAAACTACACACACACACACACAAACAAATACAATATAACTAACATACAATACTTCTTTAATATCAAAATAAAATTTAATATTATTTATTTCAAATACCAACTACCATAATATAATATAAACATATACCATACCTTATCTATACATCCACCCTCCCCCCCCCCCACCCACCCCCCCCCTAATCTCCATTTATCACATTCATCAACCCCCCCAACCAAATCCCTTCCACATCAAACCCATCAAACCCTCCACCTACAACATCAAATAAAATCCCCAAACACCCTATCCCATTTCTAAATACCACCCATAAAACTCCAAACCCCCCCACACCAACCCCCCCCCACACATAATTTCTTCCACATTCCCTTTCTTCCCCTCCCATTAATTATCAACCCATAAACCACAATTTCCCCCCCATCTCCATATATATAACCATCCCCTCACCCCAATAAAAACCCAACCACCCCCCCTCCCACCCCCCTTCCTCTAACTCCTTACCCCCCACATCCCCACACAAACATAACTTACACCCACCCCCCCCCAACCACTCCCATCTAACAAAACCCAACACAATAACCATACTCAAACATACCCCCCACCAAAACCACCACCAAAACACCAAAACATCAAATCATAAACATACATAATTCCATTAATTCCCCCCACCTTCCCACAAAACCACACCTCCCCCCCCCCAAAACCCCAACTCCATCCACCTCTTCCCCCACCTTTTTTTCTTCCACTCATCTAAAACTCTCTCCAATACACACTCCATAATTCCATACAACCATAAATAAACATCAAACAAAAACCCCAATCCCCCCCTCCCCAAACACCACAAAACAATAATACCCTTCCCCCCCCTACCATAATCTCAAAACAATCCCAAAACATCCCCAAACAATCTATATCCCCTCAAATCACTAAACTAACAACCCTATCAAAAATCCCATAATCACCATAATCATCCCTCCCATCCCTTCTTTAAATACAATCTCCCACATTAAACCAACCTTCCTATCTATTCCCCCCCCCCTTTTTCCCCAACAATCATACCAACCCCTTTTTAAAATACACCCCATAACCATACTTTCATAATCAACTACCTCACAAACATATACCAAAAACTCCCATATAAAATACTCCCCCCCCCCTATCCAAACCCCATACTCCTCTCCCCACCCATCCCCCCCATATCCCAATAACATTTCCATCACCAAAATCTCCCCCCACCCATCACACCAATATTCATCCAATACACCACCTACCCCCCCTATAAATCTTAACATTCCTCCAATCACCTATATCCTTAACCCACTTACCCCTACTCCCCCTTCCCCCATTCCACTTCCCTCCACTTACTTTCCCCTAATCCTCTATCTTCTTTCCTCCCTCCTATTTCCTACACAAAACCCTTTCTCAACATCCCACAAACCCTCATCTAATTTATCCAAACCCCTTTAACACCTACTCCCCCATCTTCCCACTCAAAAACATCCCAACAATTCTTAATCTACCCCCAACTATAACATAAAACCCATAATCTACTCATCCCTCCCCCATACCCTAATCCCACTACAATACCACAACACTATTATACCATATATCTCCCTCCCCCCCCCAAAAACTCATCCCCCCTTCCCCCTTCCACCCCCCCCACAACAACACAAAACACCACCACCTAATATAATATCTCTCTCATATATAAAAATCAAACAATACCAAATACTCTCCCCCCATATTTCTCAAACTCATACCCCCAATCTTAATATTACCAACTATTGGCCCCATAACCTTTTTTCAACTAACACACCCCCATATCCCCCCACCCACTACTAAAATAACCATCCCCCACCCAAAAATACATCCCCATCAAAACACTATTTCTACTTCGAACCCTTAACCAACACCCACCACAACAAACCCTATATCAAACTCCCTTTAACATTTCTACTTCACCATATACCTATCTTCCCACTTCACCACAATCAAATATCCCATCCTTACCCATCAACTACCCATTTTCCCAAAAACAACATTTACCCACAATACCGACCTTCTCCATTACCTCCCCTACCTCCCCATTATTATAATTAAAGACACCCCCAACCACCCTACTATCAATTCTTAAAACCCCCAAACTCCACCATCCCCCTAAACCCAATAATAAAACCATAATATACAACAACACCCCCAATACCCAACCTCATTATTAAATCACTCCCCCCCATACCCCCCCACCCCATCCCTTCACTTACCCCTCCCCCTCCCCACCAACCCCAAATCTCCCAACCCCCCAAATACCAACTCCTTACCCTCTATATCCCCATCATTTTATTTTCCCCACCCTATCATCCATCCACACCTTAACCCAACCCTACCTCCCTTCCAAATCCAATCAATACCAACACCCCCTACACCCCATAACCAACCCCTCACCTTACACCACCAACACCCACTCATATCCCCCTACTTCACTACTAACCTAATAACACCCATTACCCACCCCACTCCAATCCATTTATTCCATACATTTCCCCATCCCATCTACTCCTAATCAATATAACCAAACCCTCCAAACACCCCTCATCCCCCAAACCCCTTTTCCAACACATTTCTCCCCCCCTATCACACACCCCATCATCACATCCACCCCCCAAACTAAAACATACACAATTTCAAACTTCCAATCCCCAATTTATTATATATAACACAACTCCATCCAAACCATTCAAAATTACCCTTCCATAAACCTCCCACTCACCCACCCTACCACCTCCTATCACCCCAACAACTAACCCCAATCAAATAACCCACTCTCAATCCCAACCTCATCCCTAAACCCCACCTACCTCTACTCACCATATTAATCAATCAAACACCCTTTCCCCTCCCAACTCAAATCCTCTAATTCCTACACATAATCCCAAAAAATCAATAAAAAACTCCAAACCCCCCCAAAAATCTATTAACTATTCCCCCCCCCCTACACCCTATTCAACCCCCATACATTATCCCCCCTACACACCTTTCCTCCACAATCATCCCAAATCATCATCCCTTTTTCTTAATATCTTAATAACCAAAAAAAAACCCCAATCCCCTCCATATCAACCCCCTCCACCAAACAAACTCCCAATACCCCCCCCTACATTTCCTTCACAAAACAAACCTTCTATAAAACCCACCTACAACATTCCCTCAACCAAAATCACCACCTATCCCATTTCCCATCACCCCAATAAAACAAAACAAAAAAAAAAAACCACACAAACCTCCCCACCCCCCTCCATACCCCCCCTCCCCCCACCCCCCCCCACCTCCCATCCCCCACCCCCCCCCTTCCCCACCCCCCCCCAACCCCCCTCCTCCTCCCGTCACCCACCCACCTTCCCTCCCCCTCCCACACACACACACAAACACACCCACCCCCCCCCCCCACCCCCACCTCCACCCCCCCCCCCACCCCCCACTCTCCACCCCCCCCCCTACCCCTCTTCCAACCACCCAAAACCATCAACCAAACCCCAAAACATTTCCCACTACCCAAAACACCCACAACCCAAAATAAAACTATCCCCCAAAACCAAATATATAAATCCTCACTACTATAAAACACAACCAACAATAATTAACTAAAATCAAATACCCTAACAACCCCCCTCTAATCCAATTACATCCCAAACCCACCCAAAAACCAATAATTCATCAACCCAACTCTCCCAACTCAATTAATCATTCAATAAACCACCCATAACAACCATTTCAATCATACACATCACTAACCACATCCACCCCCCCAACAAATTCCCTCTACCATACATACATTAACCCACTTTGCCCAACCTAAAAAAGTATTCCTTTCGTACATTTTATGCCACACATACATTACACCTAGGCCAATTTTTAAAACTTTGCATACCTCACAATGATCACACTCATACCAACCATAGCGCTACAAAAACCACCCCCCCCCCAACACTCCCTCACCCGCGCCCTACCTTTACTCACATATCAGTCCACCTCTCTACCCCCAATCCCACCATAATCTCCTCTCTCTTTATCCACATCACCTCCCTCAAACATACCCATAACACCCCATCACCATCCCTCCCATCCCACTACCCTACACCCTTTTCATTCACTTCACACCCCATAAATCTTTTCCACCCCCCTCACCAAACCAAAAACAACATTAAATATAAAACCATACTCATCCTCACCCCATCCCCCCAACCCTACCACCCCATCCCCACCCCCAACAACACTCCCCATCCATAAACCCCAACCCCACCCCCCCCACCAAAACCCCCAACAACCACCCCTCCCCCCCCCCCAAAAAACAACCCCATACCCACAAAACCCCCCCCCCCCCCCCCACCAAACAAACACCCCCCCACCCAAACCCAACCACCCAACCACACACAACCCCCAAACCCACCAACCCCACACCCACCACAACAACACACCCACCAAACCAACCACAACACCCAAACACACAACAAACCAACCCAACCCACCCCATCCCCCCCACACCCCACCACAAAAACACCCCCCCAATCACCTCCACCCCCCCAAACCCCAAACAACCCCAACCAAAAACCCACAACCAAACACAACTAAAAAAAACCCCACACCCAACACACACCACACCCCCCCACCAACCCACAAAAACCCCCCAACAACCAACAAAAACAACCCTCCCCCACAACCAAAAACACCCACAACCAACCCCCCCACAACCAACCACCATCAACAACAAAACCAAACACACCAACCAACACAAACACACACCACACACAAAACAACACAAACCCCCCACCCCCACACACCCACACACACAAAACAAAAAAAAAAAACAAATACACACCAACAAACCCACAATAACCCACCCCACAAACCAACCCATCCCACCCACTAAAAAAAACAAAAACAAACTCCAACAAACCAACCCACCACAAACAAACACCCTACAACAAAAATCCCCCATCACCAAAAACACCCACAACCCCACCAACCCCCTTAACCCAACACCCAACACCCACCACCCACCCAAAAACAAAACAACTCAAACCAAACAACCACACCACCAACAACCCCCCCACACACTCCACACCTTACCAACAAATCACCACAACACCCCCCCATAAACCCACCCCCCCAACCCCAACCCAACAAACCCAAAACCACAACAACAAAAACTACCAACAAACCACCCCCCACCCTACACCCAACCCAAACATAAAACAACAACCCCCCCCCACCCACAAAACCCAACCCCTAAACCCCCCCACCCCCACCACAAAACAACCCACCCACCACCCCCAAACCACATAATCAAAAAACTCTCACAACCACCCCAACAAACCCTCACACCCTAAATCTCAACCCCCCAACAACCAACCCCTCACCACCCCCCCCCCCCACAACCCCACACACCATATAACCAAACCCCACCCAACCCACACCCACCCCCACCCACTCCAACACAACCACACCACAAACCATAAAACAAACCCCCAAAAACCCCACAAACCCCCCAACCCCCCACCCAAACCAACTTAAAACCCCCACCCTTCAACCACCCCAACTCCCCTCCCCCATACCCCACAACCCTCACCCCCCACCAAAAACACACAAATCCTCACTTCTATCACCCCCAACTATAAATTCCCTCCTTATAAACAACATATACAAAAAATTAAAAAAATACCAATAAAACCCCACTCCCCTCTACCCCCCCCCCTCACAAATTATATCATCCACCACCCACAACATAACCTCCCCCCCACCCCAAAACCACCCCCACAACACCCCCCCCCCCCCCAAAATTACCCAACCCAAAAACATAACCCCACATCAAAACCCCCCAACCAAAACCCCCCAATAACCCCAACCCCCCCCCCCCCTACACACCCACTAATCACACCTTACCCACCCCCCAAACACAAACAACAAACCCCCCCCCCCCCCCACACAAAAACAACAAACCCCCCCTATCACACAAAACCCCCACCCCCCACCTCTCAAAAACAACTCCCCCCCAACCACACACAACACCCCCCCCCACCAACACTACCCCACACCCCCTCAACCCACACCCCACACCCAACCAACTCCCCTCAACATCCAACACAACCCTACCACCCCAAAAACTAAAAAAAACCCAAACACCAAACTTCCCAATCACCCAACACCCCCCCCTACCATCCACCCCACACACCTCCCCCTCAAACACACAACAACCACCCCCACCCCCAATCCCCCCCCCAAATACACACATACTCATATACCCCCAACTATTAACACCCACTCACCAATTATAATATAACAAAACCCCACCACACACAACAACACCATCCCTCAATAAAATATCAACCAAAAAATCCCAAACCAAAAAAAAAAATCACACTCAATCCTCCAACCAACCCCTACCACACCCCAACATATATCCTATCCCCAAAACAAAAACTCCACTAAACTCCCCCTATCCCCCCCCCCCCCCCACCCCTACCAAAACTTAAATCCAACCACCAAACTCAACCCACAACCCCACCCAACAACCACCACACCCCAACACCCACCACCCCCAACCACCACCCCCCCCCCCCCCCACCCCCACCCAACTCACCCACAACCACCCAACCACAAAACAATACCAATACTATAATATTCCAACTACAAAATAACAAAAAAAAACAAACAATTAAAATCTCACCAAACTAACCAAAAACAACAAATCACCCCACCAACCCCTCCCCCCCCAAAACAAACAAACACAATAATCCCCCCATCCCACCATCCAACAACACAAACACACCCCACAAAAACAACAAAATCCCTCATAACCCTCATTCAAATAACACCAACACTAAACCCCACCCACCAACACCAACAAAACCACAAATACCACCCACCCCACCCAACACACCCAACCACCAACAATAACCCCCAAAAACCAACCACCCCAAACCCCCCCCCCCACCCACCAAAACCACCACCCCCCCCCCCCCCCACCCAACCCACCCACACCCACCTCCCCCCACCACAACCCCCCCCCCCCCCCCCCCCCCCCCCATCCCCACTCTCCCTCCCCCCCATACCTCTAATCCCATAACCCTCATCCACTCCCCATTCCATCTTCTCCATTCACCTATTCATCTTTCCACTTTTCAATATATATAATTACCCAACATAAAACATATTAAATAAAAACCAACAAAAAATCTAATAAACACACTAACACACACAACACACAAACCAATATTACAATCAAAACTAACATACAATTACCTTCTTTCAATATACAAAATAAATCTTAATCATTATTTAATTTAATACCAATTAACATAATATAATATATAAATATATACCCATACATATCTATAATCCCACCCTACCCCCCCCCCACCCCCACCCCCCCCAAATCTCCCATTCACCCCCAAACCTTTCTCAACCCCAAACCACAATTCTCCACCCATCAAACCCCCCCCCTCAAACCCTCCCACAACAACCCCCCATCAAATAAAATCCCACAAACCCTATCCCAATCTTAATCAAATACCACCCCCATACAAAACCTCAAAACCCCCCACCCAACCCCCCCCAACCCCCCACCCACTTATTCTCCACTTTCCCTTCTTCCTACATAATCCCCCCCCCCCCCCCCCATCACACATAACCCACCCATTTCCACCATTCTCATATATAAAACACACCCCCACACCCCCCCTAAAAACCCCAACACCCCCTCCACCCCCCCTTCCTCCTAACTCATACCCCAATCCCCCACACCAACATAACCTACACCCACCCCACCCCCCCAACCACTCCACATCCTAACAAAAAACCCCAAATACATCAACCATACCTCACACACATACCCCCCCAACAAACCAACCACCAAAACACCAACAACATCACAATCAAAAATTAACATTCATCCCCCAAAAAAATTTATTCCCCCCACCTTCCCCTCCCTAACACCACTCCTCCCCCCCCCCCAACACCAACTCACCTCCCACTCTCCCCACCCTTTTTTTCTTCCACTCATCCCTAAAAACTCTCTCCCCAAATACACCCCCTCCATCAATTTCCACATAAACCTAAATCTACACAAACCAAAACCCCATTCCCCCCTCCCTCCCACAACACCACAAAAACAATACCTACCCTTCCCCCCCCCCTACCATAATCTCAAACAATCCCAAAACCCTCCCCACCAAACCAATATATCCCCTCAAAATACTAAACTAACAACCCATATAAAAACCATACCCATAATCACCATAATCTCCTCCCATCCCCTTTATTCAACAACAAAATCTCCCCAAATTAAACCAACTCCCTCTCTATTCCCCCCACCCCTCCTTTTTCCCCAAATCCATCACCAACCCTATTTAACCATACAACCAAACCATACTATCATAATCAAATACCTCACCAAAACATATACAAAAAATCCAAATAAAATAAATACTCCCCCCCCTCTCCACCCCATAACTCCTCCTCCCCCCCCCCACCATCCCCCCCCTATCCCATAACCCATTTCATACCCAAAATCTTTCCCCCACCCATCCACACCATAATATCAAATACACCCCCTACCCCCCCCCCCTATAAATCATAATTCCTCCAATCACCCATATCCTTAACCCCACTAACCCTACCTCCCCTTCCCCCATTCACCTTCCTCCACTTACCTTTCCCCTCCTCCCTTATCTTCTTCTCCTTTCCTATTCTCCCCCTACCAAACCCTTTCTCACATCCCACAAACCCTCATCTAATTTATCAAACCCTTTAACACTACTCCCCCTCTCCCACACAAAAACATCCCAACAATTCTTACTCCTACCCCCAAAACTATAACATAAAACCCCTAAATACTCAACCCTCCCCCCATACCCTAATCCCACTCCAAAACACACCCACACTTAAACCATCTACCTCCCAAAACAACCTCATCCCCTAACCCCCTTCCACCCCCCCCCCACCAACAACAACACAACCACCTCAAATACTAATTCTCACTCAACTATCAAAATCAACCAATACCCAAATACCACTCCCCCATATTTCCAAACACAAAACTCTATTACCCCAACATCTATTCCCAACACCTATTTTTAACTAAACCACACCCCCCATAAATTCCCCCCACCCCCCTCCCCACAACATCCCCCACCCCAACATACCACCCCCACACACCAAATAACACCTCACTCCTTAACCCAACCCCCCCACAAAACCCTCAACCCACCCTTATTCCCAATCAAACTCCCATAACTTCACCTTCCCAAATCACATCTCCAACTCTACCACAACTACCCCATTTAAAAACAACAATACCACACAACCCCAAAACCTTTCCCCCATTAACCCTCCCCAACCCTCCCCAAAAAATAATCATCAAACACCCCAACACCCCAACACCCCATTAAAAACACCCCCCAACTCCCACCCCACCCCTAACCAATATAAAACATACATATACCAACAACACCCCCCATAACCACCCAATAATAAAATCACTCCCCCCCCCCAAACCCCCCCACCACCCATCAAACCCCCCCCATCCCACCCACCAACCCCAAATCCACCCCAAATCCAACACCCTAACCACTAAAAATATCATTAAAATCCCACAAAAACCATCCCCCCAAAACCCCCCCACCACACCTCAAACACACAAAACCCACCCCCCACACCCCAAACCCCACCCCCCCATACCACCACCCCCCCCCCCCCCCAAAACCCCCATCCAACCCTACACCCCCCCAACCCCCAACCCAACCCCCCTCCCCCACCCAAAAAAACAACCAACCCCACCACCACAAACCACAAAAAAATACCCCCCCAACACACCCCACCCACCCCCCACCTATCCCAAACCCAAATACAAACATTACTCCCCTAAACACCCCAACCACCCACCCCACCCCCCAACTAACAATACAAACAACCACCCCCCATCACACCCCCAAATAAACACAACCACAACACACCAACCACCAAAATAACACCAAAAAACCCCACCTACCCCCCCACACCCCACCAAACACCCCCCCCCCCCCCCCCCCCCCCCCCCCCCCCCCCCCCACAACCAACCCCCATCAACACACACCACTACACACCAACCACACCCTCACACCCAAACCCCCACACCCAACCACCAACATATAAACCTCAAACACCCTTTCCCTCCCAACTCACATCCTCTAATTTCCCCCCCATAAAATCAACCCCAAACCCCCCCCCCCCCCCCCCCACCCCCCACACATCTCCCCCTACCACCCCCTTCCCTCCCCCCCCCCCTATATCCCCCCCCTACAACACAAACAAAAAAACCCCCCCAACCCCAAACTCCCAAAACCCCCCCCCCCTACATTATCCTTCCAACAACACCCTTACCAATTACCCACAACAAATCCCCCCCCCCCCCCATTTCCCAATACCCCACTAAAAACCCCCCCACCCCCTCCCCCCCCCCCCCCCCCCCCCCCCCCCCACCCCCCCCCCCCCCCCCCCCCCCCCCCCCCCCCCCCCCCCCCCCCCCCCCCCCCCCCCCCCCCCCCCCCCCCCCCCCCCCCCCCCCCCCCCCCCCCCCCCCCCCCCCCCCCCCCCCCCCCCCCCCCCCCCCCCCCCCCCCCCCCCCCCCCCCCCACTACCCACCACCCCCCAAACATCCCCAACCCCACCACCCAACCCCAAATTCCCCACCCCCACTCCAACCACTAAACAATAAAACCCAACCCCCTACTCCACCACTCCCCCCAACAACACACAAAATCCCCTCCCTTCACCCCCCACCCCCAAACACCACCCACCCCCACCCCCCCCCACCCCACCCCCCCAAAACAACCCACCACACACCCAACCCCCCCCACCCAAAATAATCACTCATCATAAACTCCCCAACTCCATCACCCATACCCCAACAACCCCCCCATCACAATCCCTCCATCCATCCCAACACCAATCAATCCCTACCACACCTAAACAATAACCAACCCTCACCAAACCAAACACACCCTACAACAAACCCCCTAAAACAATCCTACAAACACCCACCCCCCAACCAACTTCCACCCAACATCAACCCACCCACCAATACACCCCCAACCCCCCCCTCCCCCCCCACCCCAAAACCCCCTACACCTACCCACCCCCCATACAAAACAACCCTCCACTAAATCCCCCCCCCCCCCCCCCAAACACAACAAACTCCCCCCCTCCCCCATTACCTACCCCTCCTCATAATAAATCAATCCTCCTTCCCACCCCTTCCACCCTCAAATTACAAATATACCACTACTCATAATAATCCTTATAACTCCCTCATACCCCTACCAAACCCCCCCCAAAATTCCCCCACCCTCAAAACTTATACATCAACAAAACATCATCTAAACCAAACTTACTCCCCCAAAACCTAAATACCAAAACACATCAATACCATAAATATATCCACCACATCACCTCCCCCAATAACATCCACCCACCCCCCCCCAAATTAACATTATTCCCCCTCTATCACTTATTATAACACCACCCCTCTACCTAATAATCCACCCCCCCCTCTCCCCTTCCAAACACCTAATCCTTTCTCCCCATTAACCTCTTCCCTAATAAATAACATCACAAATCACCTCATCATATCTCATCCTATCTATCATTTCCTTCCAATCCCCCCCTCCATCTAATCCTCCTAACCTCACAAAAAATTTCATTCACTTTCTATCCCATCCTACTTCCAAACCACATTACCTCCCCCCCCACATTCCATCCCTTCCCCCTCCCCCCCCCCACTAAAAAAAAAAAAACAACACCCACCACACTCACCCAACCCACCACCACACAACAAAACACCCCACTCACTTACCAACCCCACCCCATCCCAAACACCACCCCACCACCCCACAAAAACCCCCCACCACCCACCCAACAACACACACCAATCCAACCCCCAACCACACAACACCCAAAAACCCCAACACACACAAACCACCAACAAACCTATATCCACACACAAGTACCCCCCCCAAACACCCCCCTTCCCCCAACCAACCAACCAACCAAACCACCCACAAACAAAACACATCCTAACTCCCCACCACACACACACCACTAAAAACACCCCCAACCCACCACACCCAATACCCCCCCCACACCCCCCCCACACCCCACAACCCCAACCACACCACACACCCCCCCCCAACAACACACCACAACACACACCCCAACCCCCCCACCCACCAACCTCACACACAACCCCCCCCCCCCCCCAACCCACCCCCCCCCCCAACCCCCAACCCAAAACCCAAAAAACCCACCCCCACCACCAACCACCAACCACTACCACCCCCCAACAACCCACCAAACCCCCACCCCCCCCACCCCCCCCCCCCACCCACACCCAAAAACAACACCCCCCAACCCACCCCCCCCCCCCCACCACCCCCAACCCCCACCCACAAACCCACCCCCCACCCCACCCACAACACCACACACCACAACAACAACCACCCCCAACAAATCAACCCCCCCCAAAACAAACAAACAACTTCAAAAACCATAACCAAATTCACACTTACAAACAACACCATACCCCCCCTCCCAAACAACAAAACTCCACAACCCCCACCACAACACCCCCCACTACCCAAACCACCACCCCACAATCCCCCCCCCCCCCCCCACACACCACCACCCCCCAACCTACCACAACCCCCCACCACCCCCCCCCCCCACCCCCCCAAACCCAAAACACCCCCCCCCCCCCCCCACCACCCACCCCAAAAAACCACCAACCCCACAACCAAACAAAACAACACCCCCCCCAACCAACACACACATCCCCCCAAACACCAACAAACCTCCCCCACCAACTCCAACAATCAACACCCCTACTATCTCCTCCAAACCACCCCCCCCCCCCAACCCAACTCTCCCCTAACCCCTAACCCCTAAACCCCTAACCAAACCCTCATCACCACTCCTCTACTCTTCCTCCTCCCCTACATCTTATTCAATCCCCCCCCATTTCAACCCCCAAACTACCCTATCACCTTACCCCCCTACTCCAACCCCTTCACCCCTCCCCCAATCCATTATCTATACAAACAACCCACCCATCCCCCCCCACAATTAAACACCATCTCATCAAATAATAACCACCTAACCCTAATCACATAATAACATCCTACCCCACCACACACAAACCACCCTCCCAAATATAAAAATCACATTTAATCCCCCAATCACAAAAAAACCATTAACTCTCAATCCCTAACCAAAATCCACACAATCCTAACACAACCTTCCCAATAAAATACACCTCAACCTAAACTCCCTTTCCCCCCCAACACCCCAACCTTTTCACTCATCCTCTCCCTCCCCCCTTTCTCTACCTCTACCCTCAAACTACATACCTCAACCCAAAATACCCACCACCAATAATTAACCAAACCCCACCCAAAAATCTCCTCTCCCCCCCAACAATCACCTACCTCAATCCATATATATCTCTATAATACATATATCTACCCTACTATCCTCTATATCATATCTATAAACCTTTAATTTTATATAAACATACTACCCCAAATAATATATTCCACCAAATCATACCCCTACCCCCCCCAATTCACAACTACAAATCCATTAATCCCCCCATCCACCATCCCAACAAAACAAAAATCCCCCAACATAAACCAACAAAATTCCTCATTACCCCTATTAATATATTCAACTTTCCCTCTCAATCCACACCCATCCAAACCCTAATTTCCACAATTCCCCTCCACCCCTCCATACTCTCCATACCACCCCATCATTTACCCCCCAATAAAACAAACAAACCCATACCCCCCCATTCCCACCCTAAATCCACCCCCAAACCCCCCCCACCCCATCCCCCCCCCCACATACCACTCCCCCCACCTCACCCCCCCCCCCTTCACCAATATCCCTCCCCCCCCATTCTCATAATCCCATATCCATCATACCCACTCCCCATTTCCCATCTCTCCATTTCACCTATTCATCCTTCCATTTCAATATATATAAATTACACCCATAACAACAAAATTAAATAAAACAACAAAAAATAATACTACCAAATAACAACACACACCCCCAAACAAAATACATCCAACTACCATACAAATACTTATTCAATAAACAAATCTAATCTTAATCAATATATATTCAATACATTCACAAAATATAATATATAAATATAAACCAACATTATCTATACATCCACCCTCCCCCCCCCCCACCCACCCCCCCCAAACATCACCCAAACCCCACACCCAAACAACCACCCCCCACACCCAACTCCCACACACAAACAACACAAACCCTCCACCTACAACCCAATCCATATAAATCCCCCCACACACCCTACCCATCTTATCCAAATACCACCCAATCAAAACCTCAAAACCCCCCACCCCAACCCCCCCAACCCCCACCACATTATTCTCCACTTTCCCTTACCTTTCCTACTCTAATCCAAATCACACAATAACCCCACCCAATACCCACCCCCAATCACCATATATATCACATCCCCTCACCCCATACAACCAACCACCCCCCCACCCACCCCTTACCCTCCAAACACCTTAACCCAAATCCCAACCCACTAAACCCCAACACCCACCCCACCCCCCAACCACACACACCAACCAAAACCCCAATACACACCTACCACAACAAACCCCCACCAAAACCAACCACCAAACACCCAAAACATCACATACAAAACAAAACAAAATACCCCCATACAAACCCCCCCCCACCCAACCCAACCACCACCACTCCACCCCCCCCCCCCCCCACACCAACCACCCCCCACCACACACCCCACCCTATTTTTCTTCACTCATCCTAAAACTCTCTCCAAATAACACTTCCATCAAATTCCCATAAACCACTAAATCTACACAAACCCAAACCCCATTCCCCCCTCCCCAAAAACACCAACCCAATACAACCTTCCCCCCCTACCATAATCTCAATATCCCCAAAAACATCCCACCAAACCCAAACTAATCCCCTCAAACTACTAAACTAACAACCTTATCAAAAACATACATAATCACCCTAATCATCCTCCCATCCCTTCTATTAAAAACAAATCTCCCCCAAATTAAACCACAACCTCCTATCATATTCCCCCCCCCCTCTTTTTCCCCACATCCATACCAACCCCTAATTTAACCATACACCCATAACCATACTAATCTAATCCAAATACTTTCACCAAACTTCTACAAAAAATCCCCTAATAATACTCCCCCCCTCATCCAAACCCCAATAACTCCTCCTCCCCACCATCCCCCCCCCTATCCCATACCATTATCCATCCACCCAAAATCTTCCCCCACCACCAACCATAATCATCCAATAACCCACCTACCCCCCCCCCTATAACATCCATAAATTATTATTTCCCCCCCCCCTTTTCCCCCAATCCACATATCCCTTTAACCCCACTAACCCTAACATCCCCCTTCCCCCTTCACCTCCTCCACTTACCTTTCCCCTCCTCCTCTATCCTTCTTTCTCTTCCTAATCTCCCTACCCCAAACCATTTCTCAACATCCCACAAACCTCATCTAATTTATCCAAAACCCTTTAACACCTAACTCCCCCCTCCCCAAAAAAAACATCCCAACAATTCTTAATCCTACCCCCCAAAATATACATAAAACCCCTAATTACTCAACCTCCCCCCATACCCTAATCCCATCAAAAACCACACCCAACTTATACCATCTAACTCCCCTAAAAACTCATCCCCTACCCTTCCACCACCCCCCCCCACACACACAAATCCACCACACCTAATAATATAATCTCTTATCAACTATAAAAATCAACCAATAAAATACCACTTCCCCCCATATCTCCCACAACCCCCCACTCAAACTCTTCCCCAAACTTTCCCCAAACCCTTATTTTAACTAACACACCCCCCATATCCCCCCACCCCCCTCCCAATAACCAGCCCCCACCCACCATACCTCCCCAACACAAACACAATAACACTACTCCCTTTTTAACCAAACCCCCCCCACCAACAAACCCTCAAACCACCACTCCCCATTTTCCCCCATTTCCAAACTCCCCTACCTAACTTTCCACCTTCCACAATCAAATATCCCATTACTCTACTCCAACTACCCATTTTCCAAAAACAACATTACCCAAAAAACCTACCCTTCTCCCATTCTACCATCCTACCTCCCCATTATTATACATCTAAAACACCCCAACAACCCCTTACTATCCATTCTAATACACCCCCATACTTCCAACCCCATCCTAACCAATATAAAACCATACATAAAAAATAAAAAACACCAATAACCAAACCTCATCTATTAAATACTCCCCCACCCCATACCCCCACAACCCCTTCACCATCACATTACCCTCCCCCACCCAAACAAACCCCAAAATAACAACACCCCCAAATACAAACTACCTTACCCTCTATATCCCCCATCATATTTATTTTCCCACCCTATCATTCCATTACACCACCTATACATCCCCACCCTCCTCCCTCACAAATCCAAACTTACTACCCAAAAACCCCCTTACCAATAAAAACCCATAAACACACAACACTCACACACACTATACCCTCAATCATTATAACCTACCAAATTTATCCAAAACACTCAACCTTCCATTTTATGCCTTTTAACCTTCACAATCCCTAGTATTCATGAAAGCAAATTACAAATTTACATACAATCTCCACCTCTATTCCACCCAATTCAATTTTCCTACAAATTTCTACCAATATCTCTAACACCCTGCATCTCATCCTACCCCCCATCGAATTACACTATACATTACTTCAAACTTAATATAAAATATGTTTTATAATCTAACTATTAGAACCTTCTTTCCAGACATAAATTACCAGCCATACGATCTTCCCTAATCCTACACAATCCATCACATACGAATTTAACAAATAATTAATTAAACATATATGTTCCAAAGCACACTTCATTCATCAAATCACTATTAACCAACACTTACATATTCTAAAAATTATGTTTTTATAGATATATTACATTTAACATCCCTAATCAATTTCCTCCTATTGTCCCTTACTCACAGCAGACCTTTTATTATTTCTAAATATTATCATAATAACACCCTATTATATCAGTTTCTATTCAACCCCACATACACCGTTGAATTCCCAAATATTTTTTAATAATGGTAATTATCTGTTAACAACCCACGAATTCCATTTCACGCATCTTGTCCTGCCCAATAACCCTATTCATCCACCCTATGGAGTTGTCTCTTTTTATTAAAAAATTTTATTTCACATACAGTACACATCCCATTTCAAACACCACTCACCACAATACCCTAAATACTATTTCACAAACAACCTTCATGTCGATACTTCTTCTTAAAATGTCGATTTAACACTACTATTCTGCAAGATCAAGTTATGTAAAATCAACCTTTAACTATTGCCCTCAAGCTCAACATTGTATTTATCTTATTTTTTTATATACAATTAATTACCTACACCTCCCCATCCCATATACCACACCAGCCACCAACCCACCAACATCCTATGACAAAAACCACCACCATGCACACTCCAAACAACATCCACAGTCCGCCTCCATGAAACCACCCCCCCTTCCTCCCCCTCCCACACAAACACACACAAACCACCCTCCCCCCCCCCCCCCCACCTCACCCCCCCCCCCCACCCCCCACTCTCCCCCCCCCCCCCCTACCCCCTCTTCCAACACAACAAACAACCCAAACCCCAAAAACATTTTCCACCTACCCAAACCCCACAACCCAAAAAAAATCTATCCCCCCAACACCAATACAAATTATAAATCCTCAAAATAAAAACAACACAATAATAAACTAAACAAATAAATACCTAACAACCCCCTCTAACATCCAATTAAAACCCAACCTCACCCCCAAAACCCCCCCACTTCATCAACCCAATCACCAACTAATCTAATCTACCCTCAACCCCCCAACACAACCATTTAAAACATACCCACCTCACACCCACCCCCCCACAAATTCCCCATACCCTCCACCATTTCCCCACATTTCCCCACCCACTCATCAAACTTACCTTTTATTCCCCCCCTACCTATCCACCTCTCCAAAAAAAACCATATAACCCTCCCTCTCCCACAACCCATATTCTACCCACCCCCACCCCCCCAACCCCCCTCCTCCCCCTCTCCCTACCATACTCCCCCCTCTCCTCCCCTTCCCCCATCACACATAATCTCCTCTCTCTTAAATATATCACATACCTCCTCAAACAATACCCATAACCCCCATCACCATCTCCCCAATTCACACCTACACCTTTCTCATCACACTTAACTTTTCTCAACCCCCTACCTTACAAAAACCAATTAAAAAATTCCTTAAACCTTTCATCCTACTCACCTCCCCCAAACTACCCTTCCACCCCACATCAACCTACCCATCATCAAACCCCCACAACCCCCCCTCCCCCCCCCCACCTAAAACCCTACAACTCCTCCCCCCCCATAAAACTACCCCTCACACTCAAATCCCACCCCCCCCCCAAACTCATCAAACTCCCCCCCCCTCCATACTACACCTCCCCTCACTAAAATCAAAAATCAAATCCTTTCCTCCCCACCTTATCTATTAACAAACCATTATACCATCACAATAATACTCCCTTATACTCTCATACTTACCCTACCACCAAATTACCCCCCCCCACCTCAAATTTAATCCCAACAAATATCCATCTCAAAACCAAACCTTAATACCAAAACCTCAAAAACCCAAATCACTCCAATACCATAATATTTCAACAAATCACTACAACTATCACTCACCCCCCCCCCAAATTAAAAATTATTCCCTCTCTCACCTTCATTATACAAACCCCATCTTCCTATATACACTTCCCTTCCACAAAACTAACTTCCTCCATTAATCAACCTCTTCCCCTATAATAAATAACATCACAAATCACCCTCATCTACTCACTCCTCATCCCTCTATCAATCCCTCTCCACATCCCCCCTTCCAATCCTAACTCCTCCTACCTTCAATAAAATTCTTATTCATCTATTCTATCCTAACTTCAAACCCACAATTACCTCCCCACCCACTTTCAATCCCTCCTCCCCCCCCCCTCTTCTAAAAATCCTAATACCTCTTTCCCTCTCTCTTCCCCTTCCCCTCCCCCTTCTCTCAATCTACCCTCTTTTTTAAATTCCCCCATCAACTTACAACCACACCACAACCCTCCCACACCCATTTTCAAACCATCACAACCCACCCAACTTATAAAACAATAATCATACCAAAATATCACTCATTTAATTAGGCAGTAAGTAAGTAATCTTTATTTATATACCGCCTTTCACAGACCAGAGTCACAAAGCGGTTTACAATTGTTTTTTTTTTTTTTTTTTGGGCAATTGTCCTCTCACTCCACACAGAGATGGGAGCGGGGCCTAACTTATTGGATTTTCTGTGGGCTAGGTCCCGCTGGCTGCACCTGGTTACCATGCTTAACAACAGACTAACTAGCGTTACTGAACTAGTGAGTAAGAGTATCCATCCATCCATCCATTTTCTTCCCCTTAATTAATTTCTGGGTTGGGGGGGTTGGCCAGAGATGCCACCCAGTACACATAGCACCAGCCCTTCACTGATCCTCCTGCAGGTGGTGAGTCCACAGGAGCCTTGATCTTTCAGTGGGGGCTTCAGGCAAAGTGGGGTTAAGTGTCTTGCCCAAGGACACAACGACAGCAGTCATCAGTGGGGGTTGTGAAGTAGGTCTCATGGTGGGCTTGAACCCACAACCTTAAGGCCCAAAGGCCACTGCTCTACCATCTGAGCTACTGTCGCCCATGTGTCAAATTTACTCACAAATATAAGATTGAGGCCCACAGGGCGCAACGGGGTCTGCTACGTCTAGCAACCGAGGATGAGTATAGCCCGGAGGTGATCTTCATATTGCTCAGGGGTAGTAACAGCGCGAAATATGAATTATCTGGAGGGTTGGGCCTGGTATCAACACATTAACAACATTGATTAGGGGCAAAGGCTTCATCAAATGTAAATGCTAAGAATGTAAACATGTTGGTCTTAAAGGAACATGGTAAGCTGTAAAACTAGCATTGAAGCTAGCGTTAACCAAACACTGCCAAAAAAACTTTTCTAGAGAGGGACAAGAAACATCTTCTTATGAACACATTTTATGGAATTAATATTTAATTAATATCACATTCATTTACGGCCAAAACGATAAAATATAGTCATGTTGTTAATGTTGTTGCCCTCTGCCATGTTTTAGTTTTGTGGCAATGAAGAGGATCAACTCTGCGCAGGCTCGATTGTTAATGTCTGTGAGTGACGTAATATTGCAAGAAGAAAAGGCAAGCACAAAAAAAAAAAATCATATTCACAAGTATGAAATCACACATATAGTTTTATAGTTTTTTATCCTTAATTACAAAATTCCATGTCTTTTGAGTTTGTATTATCTTAATCATGAATTAATAAAATATTGTAATGCACAAATACCGATAAATATGCACGCATTTTATTTAGACATGCACGTCTTTATTGACAGTAACCTTACCCCATACACAACAATCTATACAATTACGTCTTATCTACCATTTTTGTCTCATGATGAAATTGTCATTATTATTAAAAGCGGTGATTCAGAAGCTACAATCATTAAATTTGTCCACTAGATGTCATTATTACAAGTATGAGCTAGCTCAGAGGCAACGACACATTTGAAACAAGGCATTAATATAATTATTTCCATTGCAAAGATGAAGATGAAGAGATCGTTTCTTTGTCCCACTGTTGGGACAACTTTCATATCTTTTGAGCAGCTTTTTCAGACAGAAGTGAAAGAGAGAGGACCATCCTCTCTCAAAAAGTCAGTCAAACATTGACTTTTTGGGTTCATTCTTACACAAAAGAAAACATGTTTTCTATTCAAATGAAGACAATATGTTGTGGCCACTATATTTGTAAAGCTCTTTCTGCTGTATCTGCCCTGTATGAATATGTCGGACATTGATGTGCAGAGGTCAGTCTGTCCGTTTACATCACAGTCCACATTTATTACTGGTAGATTTTGTGTCCCGCTGAGCAGAAAACTCATTTTCATGTAGCAACACAAGGTTTCCATTTGCAGGATCAGACCGGACTCGGACTCAATCCTTGTCCCATTATCACCTGCGCTGACCCTTAGTGTGCCTGCTTTTGATAGAACTACTTCATGTTCGGGGGAACTGTGGTAAGAAGATCATGTCTTAGACCCTCGAGACCCAGAGAGAATAGCTGAAAGGTCTTCACTAATCACAAATGATACATATATTGACAAAATTAATGAAATATTTGTTATTTTCTCAATAATCTTGAACTACAAACATGCGCAATAGTTCAGGGTGAATAAGTGTGTGTTTGTGAGTGCGAATGTGGGACAACGGATGCAAATTAGCCCATGGCTACAATGAAATACTTATTTCTAATACCATGACTCTCTTGTACACTCCTGCACAACACCAACTAAAAAATGTAGGGCTCCTTTATGATCACCAAGTGGCACGAGAACTGCTGTTTATGGTTGAATATAAATAAATTGCACATGACGAACAAGGGTCAAAAGATTGAGAAGATCTATTAGTCATTAACTTGACTTTGTTCAATAATAGACTGGGTATGTTATTTAGATAGATAATTTATCGATCCCTGTAGGAGAAATTCAGGTGTCCAGTAGCAGCGAAAACACATCGATCCACACAAACAAAACAAATACATTGATCATTCTAAAAAGCTAACAATTATTTATCCTCTTGTTGGCTCAATCTATTTTTGTTCTACTATTGCTGATGGTATCTGTGTCAAAGCAGTACAATTGTCAAAAAAGGACGTGATTCAGAATTTGACCATAAAAGAAGACCAAGAATAAGATAAGATAAGAGATAAGATAAGATAAGATACAGTAAGATAAGATAGACTTTATTGATCTCACACAGGAGAAATTTACATGCCACATCTGGCATGGATAGAATCACTCAAGATTGTGCAAAAGAAAGAAATGTGCAAACATGTTAAATTTAGGATATACTGTGTTACAGTGGGGCAAAAAAGTATTTAGTCAGCCACCGATTGTGCAAGTTCTCCCACTTATAATAATCACAGAGGTCTGTAATTTTCATCATAGGTACACTTCAACTGTGAGAGACAGAATGTGAAAAAAAATCCAGGAATTCACATTGTAGGATTTTTTAAGAATTTATTTGTAAATTATGGTGGAAAATAAGTATTTGGTCACTTCAAACAAGGAAGAAATGTGCAAACATGTTAAATTTAGAATATACTGTATTATGTACAATAAAAAGTGGCAATCAAAGAAACAGTGTCAATAGTAGTGCAGGTTTTTCAGTCCTAATGCAAGTGACTTAAAGTGACTTATTGTACAGTCTGACAGCGGTGGGGATAAAGGCCCTGCGGTAGCGCTCCTTCTTGCACTGAGGGTGTCTCAGTCTTCCACTGAAGGAGCTCCTCAGCTCCTCTACAGTCCTGTGCAGTGGGTGGGAGGTGTTGTCCATGATGGAGGTGGCTTTGACTAGCACCCTCCTATCCCTCACCCCCTCCACAGAGTCCTGGGGACAGCCCAGAGTGGAGCTGGCCCTCCTGACCAGCTTGTTCAGTCTACTCCTGTCCTAGACTGTGTAACCTAGTGTGAGGTTACTGTCCACTCCCGTGTCCTCCCCGGCAGCAGTGCCAGTCTGATGGTGTTGAAAGCAACAGTATTTAATTCTCTTTAAAATCAAATCTAATACAAGACTCTTTTGAGCTCCTGGCCCTGGCTTTCTCTGTTCCGACTGACTAACAATCTTGTACACCACAGTTTTCTGAATATGTGTAGAAGAAGAGTAAGTGCCTCCACAGACATCATCTGGCTCCTTTTCAGACTCCTGAGTCTGGTCTGGTCTGGCTTTTGGGTCTCATCTCCTGTCCGGTGAGATAAGGGAGACTCCTCTCTCTGAAAACAACACTTCCAAGGCCGTCCATTGTCCAATGTTTTGCTCTAAACTCATTGACCTCAGGCATTTGTTAAATGTTGACACATGAATGAAAACATGATTGTGTTTTGACGTGTGCTGTAAATAAAATCTACAACAGTACTCAACTTCAAATCGCAACAAATGATTAGTTCCTGGCTCTTATACAAATAAGAATATACAATCTAACAAGATAAATATTATGTAGTCTGATTTGTTCACAGCAAATAGTTATTTCCCATCCCTGTGATAAACTACTACTGTTATCACATACATGTATGTCCTGGGGCCTCTGACCACCACGAACCATTCACACAAATACCATGTGAGAGTGTCTTGCTTATAGATACAATAACAGTTTGCATTAAAAACATCATCCTAATGTGGGCCTTCCTTTGATTTATCACTTTTTCCAATGGGAGTTTTTTTAATTAGAGTTTTTCCATGAGGACAGTGGTGATGATCCAGGACTCTTGACATTCAACATCTATGGAGATTTATCAACATTTATGGAGATTTATCAACATTTATGGACGTTGACCATCTTTATGGACCACTGTCTCTGTGATTTTTATCATTGCATTTCTTGTGTTTATTTCTCTGATCTAGGTTGGCCAATTCAACAGTTTTGTAACGTGTTTTGATTTAGAGTAATACAATAAAACATTTACATTCTTGTTTTGTTCTTAGTAGCAAACAAGTTTTAAGAAGCCATTGCTCTTCCCCTTTCTTTTTTCCCCCATGCCTGTAAATCCTAGCACCGTCTGCATACATTTCAACATCAGGGTCTGCTCAAATAGCCTGTTTGAGCTATTTCTAATCCTCATGGAGCCTGTCTGAGTTTGTTCAAATTCTCATGGAGCCCGTTTGAGTCAGCTCTAATCCTCATGGAGCCTGTTTGAGTTAGCTCTAATGCTTTTGGAGCCTGTTTGAGTCAGCTCTAAATCCTCATGGAGCTCTTTAAGTCAGCTCTTATCAACTTCTTCAGTGTTAAGGCAAACACTATGGTATTGTTGGCACTTGGTCAGTCCACTCCATCTATTGTTTATGGTTATTGTGTGAATGAGGCTTCATTGTGCTCTTCATCCCTCAGGTGCTGTTCATGTTTTTAATCCTCTTCTTTGTCTCACAGGTGCTGGTTGTCGCCTCCCCTCCCCGGTCTCCATGATTGGCAGTGGAACATGTCCTCTTTGTCCCGTCTGCTGCTGTGGAAGTGTTTTCTGCTGCTGACCACGGCCCCAGGCTCCGGAGGCCAGAGCACCGGAGGCCAGAGCGCCGGAGGCCAGAGCGCCGGAGGCCAGAGCGCCGGAGGCCAGAGCACCGGAGGCCTGCGCATGGGTCAGTCTGACATCTCATCCATGTTGCCACATGGTCAAACACAGACCTGAACTCCACACGTCACGCCCCTTTTGTCATGCTTCCAGAAAATGCGGCCAAGACGCAGTTCCAGTTAGTTACTTTTCTTTCCATAGTCTTGAAGAAATTTGTGAAGCCAGATGAAAACATTATTATATTATTTGTACAGCACAGTTCATAAACAAGGCAACTTTAAGTGCTCAACAAAATGTAAACAAACATTAAATTTAGAAGAAGACCACCGTGTCCTGTAGCTAATACTATAATCTTAGCTGGCAATGAAAAAAGAAACAGAACCCACGCTTACCAGCGATGCTGTACGAGCGAAGCATCCGTGTGTCTTAAGCTGTGTTCAGACCCCCGATGCATGGACGTGCGTAGATGGAGGCATGGATGCATGTTCACTAAATATCAGCTGCATGAGTTTTGTCCATCTGCCGTACTTTCCTGTGTAGGGGAAAAAATTGGGGCGGAAGTGGTGGGCAGGCTTTGATGCTAATGCTCATAGAAATATAACTTATATTTCAAGCGGACAACAACAAGAAGTTTGGTGCAAAAGGGGGGCCCGCTTTCCAAACAGATCAATGACAAGATAACAAGCTACTGTATAAACCTATTCATATGAACCAGCGAATTAACTCTGAACACAGATAGTTCCTGAGGCTTTTAAAAACTCCCGGCCTGGTTCATTACTCAAAACCGCAATCATGGGTAAGACTGCTGACCTGACTGCTGTCCAGAAGGCAATCATTGCCACCCTCAAGCAAGAGGGTTAGACACAAAAAGACATTTCTGAGCGAATAGTTCCCAGAGTGCTGTATCACCTCAGTGGGAAGTCTGTGGGAAGGAAAATGTGTGGAAGAAAACGCTGCACAACCCGAAGAGGTGACCGGACCCTGAGGAGGATAGTGGAGAAGGGCCGATTATTGCGTAGCAATATACAAAAATGACCATTTAGTTTTTTTTCATTGCTTATAAGACACATATAATATATATATATATATATATATATATATATATATATTATAATAACCGGATTTCGGAACTAGAAAATGCAATAATTTACCTTTTTTTATTATGTATTTGATACATTTCGGCGTCAACCGATTACCGGGAAGTGAAACAAGTTTGTTAACTCGCACGGGATTAGAATTACCTGTGGACCCCTGATAATATGTGATAATTGTAGAGGGCGTCTGAGATTTTGCAGTGCATTCATAATACGGGATAAGCAATAGCTGTAAAATACTGTTTTCACTGACATCTCACTTAACGGCCGCACGTGCGCGGGTCTCCCCGCTTCACGCAGTTCAGAGAGTTGCGTCTGACCACAGCAGCCACAGAGAGGACAAACTGCTCTACAGTTCTCTGGCCCATACTGTCTGTAATGTTTAATAATTGTTTGTATGGAGTACTCGTGAACGCCCCACATACTCTAAGATACGTGCGAGCCGACAAATAGTAACGGCTGCATCAACCATAGACTGTATATATTCAACACGTCTGTACTGTATTACCACAGAGTGCAAAGTAAACGTACAAATGCAACCCATCGGTCTGATCATTTAGTGTCAGTGAACACATTACACTGTCCTCTACACTTCTCCGTAGACCTCATTATTACAAGTATGAGCTAGCTCAGAGGCAACGACACATTTGAAACAATCTGGCTAAGAAAGCCTTGCGGTGTAATGGGGTTCATTTCAGCCGCGACTCTGCAGCTGTGTACACAGCCGCGCCGCGACTCCTCTGCTCATTGACAAAAACAACGCAGAAAGTAAAGAGAAAGCGGCCATAGCGATCACAATCACTGACATGGGATTAGTATTATCACAGAACGTCTGTGTTTGGACAAATACAGGAGTCATTAGCGTATTAAATTATACTAAATTAGACCGAATAGGGCTGAAGTAAACAAACTTGTTTCACTTCCGGGTAATCAATTGACGGCAAAATGTATTCAATACATATTAAAAAAGGTTAATTATTGCATTTTCTAGTTCCCAAATCCGGTTATCATAATATATATATATATGTTTTATAAGCAATGAAAAAAACCAAAATGGTCATTTTTGTATATTGCTGTGTGCCTGAAAATGCAAAATGGCCTTTTTTCGATTTTCCATTTCCCTTCAAAAATAGAAAATGTATTGAACGCAAAAGTACACGGTCCGTGGTGGAATGAAAATTTGCCTATTTCTTTTCGGATTCTAGGAACAACGAAAAAGAATTGATTTGCATGTCTTAAATTGTAAGAAGTGTGAAATATTATTCCAAATAATCGGGATAACTGAGATTAATACATTTAAATATAAATAATAGCCAGTGAAATTGTCGTCTGGAGGATGGAGTGAGCCAAGAGAGATATTCATACAGCTGACAGTGGTGAGTTCTGAAGGGACAAACCTACAAAGACTATTATAAATAACATTAAGCGGCTGAAGATTTGTAACAGAGGTGTTTTGATAAACAATATCGCAATAATCGAGAATGGGAAGTAAAAGTTGAGTGACAATCCTCTTTCTCACTGAGAAACTAAAGCAATTAATAGATTGATACAGTAATTTCAAACGATATGTGATTTTATTGGCAACAGAATGTATGTGAAGTTGGAGTCAAGCCATACCCCCAAATATTTGAATGTCTCAAACGGTAGGATTGGCAATCCATCCAAAGATACAATATTTAGTGCACCAGCTGTTGTATTATTATGTGGTTTTATTGAGAAGCTTGTTTTCTTGAAGCCGATGCTGTACATTATCGAAATCAAATTGGAGAAAGTTTTGAATATCAATGATGTTAGGTTTTGAATTTAAAAAAAATAGTATCGTCTGCATAAAGTTAAATATTGCAATCTCTGTAGGCGAGGGGAAGATCATTGATAAAAATTGAGAATAAGAGAGGTCCAAATGACGAACCCTGCGGCACGCCTCTATCAATGGTTTTAAAATCAGAGTGATTATGAAACGCATTGTTGGCAAAAATGAAGATAAGATAAAAAAGAGAGGTCCTATCAAGACCAATGGAGTGTAATTTGTCTAATAGAAGATAATGATCAACCATATCCAATGCTTTTGAAAGGACGATAAATAAGGCACCAGTGAACAAATTATTGTCAAAACCAGTAAAAATGTCATTTTTGAACATGAGAAAGTTGTTGAAAAAGATGGTCTAAAACCAGACTGAAAACGAGATAAAATATTGTAGCAACACAAGTAATCAGATAATTGATTGAAAATTATTTTTTCAAAAACTTTGACAATGCAATTAATAATTGATATGGGCCGATAATTATTCACATTGCAGGGGTCACCACCTTTGTGAAGGGGAATTACTCTTACACGTTTCCAGTCGGAAGGCACTTCACAGGTAGAAAAAGATAAGTTAAAAAGATCTGCTAAGGGAAAAGAAAGAACATGAGATGCAAGCTTGATAAATTGGGCTTCGATACCATCAGGGCCAGCACTTGAATGAGAAGAGAGTCCATTAATGGCCTGCTGGCCTCAGTTGGACTTATTTGTCTGAATGACAAATAAGTCATTCAGACAAATAAGTATATACTGTACAGACCAAAAGTTTGGACACACTTTCTCATTCAATGAGGTTCCTTTCTTTTCATGACTATTGACTGTAGATTCACCGCCAGGCTATTTAAGGGCTATTTGACCAAAAAGGAGAGTAGTGGGTGCTGGGCCAGATGACCTGGCCTCCACAGTCACTGGACCTGACCCCAATCCAGATGGTTTTGGGGTGAGCTGGACCACAGAGTGAAGGCGAAAGGGCCAACAAGTGCTAAGCATCTCTGGGAACTCCTTCAAGACTGTTGGAACCCTAACCTCTTGAAGCTCTTCCAGAAAATGCCAAGAGAGTGCGAAGCAGTAATCAGAGCAAAAGGTGCTACTTTGAAGAACCGAGAATATAAGACATATTTTCAGTTGTTTCATACTTTTTTTTTTTTTAGGTACGTACATAATTGCACATAATTCCTCATTTTGATGCCTTCAGTGTGAATCTACAATTTCCATAATTATGAAAATAAAAAACTCTTTGAATGAGAAGGTGTGTCCAAACTTTTGGTCTGTACTGTATATATAAATAAAAAACAGTGAAAATACATTCCATCAGTTGTTGCAGAGACGCTGAACTGCCGTTACCCTAGGCTTGAACATTGTTTGAGTAGAAGCCTGTCATTTTCAGGAACACTGTTCCTGTTGTAAATCTGAATCACTGCTTCCCTATGTTTAGTCCTAACTCTGGGAACCAGCAGGAGGCCAGTTGTGGGCTCCTCAGAGTTCTGGTTGATTCAATTGTCACTAACATATTACTATTATACGTTGAAGGGAGCTGGAGAGTTGGTCCTCTTTGGTGAGGAACCACTGAACAAAACAGATACTGTTAGAAGCAGTGATGTATGAGATCAACCCCTCCACAATTTCAAAATAGGTTCATGTTTTAGAATTATTTTTCAAGTTGTTCAGCAGCTGCCAATACAACTTTTTGGAAAAGAAATCCTTTTTGTCCAGTTGTTTTTCCAGATCACAGTTATTATTCTAATTCTGAAAGTCCTTTCTACTGGACCACAGAGAGAGACCAGAGACGGGAAACTAGAAAAAGAACAGAAAGAGACCAGTGGCGATACCAGAGTGAGACCAGAGAGAAAGACCAGAGAAGGAGAGACCATAAAGAGACCAGGTGGAGTATTGTGGATTTGTGATGTTTCAGTTGGACCAAAATGTGAAAATATAGGCTCGTGAATATAGGCTTTTGAACATGCTCATGTCACATGAACATAAGCAGATACGGTAGCAGCCTGTTGATGGATTACATACGTTATGTTGTTCAGCGTTCCCCGAGGGGGGCGTGACTGTTTACATCTGAGCCCCCTCGGACCCCACCGCACTCCCCCGCCTCCTGCTCACCAGCACCGGGTGAGTACAACGGTGCAAACACTGCTCCCTGTCCGTCTGGCAGTGCATTACCAGTCCAAACACTGAACTGTGCTGACTCCCTTCTGACTCTGGGAGCTAAAGAACAACAAGGGTTTTCACATTTTAGGCCAATTGAGACTGTGTGTGTTCCTCGCACCAGCTCAAAAATGTTTTTAAATTCTAAAAAACGAAATCAAAACAGGACAGCAGTTAGACGGTCCAACTCTGCAAATCTAATTTCTGTTCCCTGTAGAAATCAATCAACCACATTAATCGACTCTGACGTTATTTTTAAACTTGCTATGCTTAATGTCAGATCTCTATGTAACAAATCATTTTTAATTAATAATTTTATCACTTCTTATGATCTTGATTTTATGCTTATGGCTGAAACATGGCTGGACCAAAATACAGGAAATGCAGTTCTAATAGAAGCAACACCACCCAATTTTAAATTCGAATCCGAAATACGAGAAAACAAAAGGGGGGGAGGCATAGCTGCAGTTTTTAGAGAGCACTTTGTCTCCCATAGAATGCCCCTTGGAAATTTTTCATCGTTTGAGTATATTTCTTTTAAAATGGAACAAAAGCAATCTTCTACTCTTTTCATTGTCCTGTACAGGCCACCACAGTCATGTTGCGATTTTATTGACCATTTTACTGAACTACTTTCATTCGTGTGCACAGATTTTGATAGTTTAGTTATTACAGGTGATTTTAATGTACATGTTGATAATGTTGATGACAGAAATGCAAAGGAGCTGGCTTCTGTATTTGAGACCTTTGGTTTCATTCAGCACGTGAGTGGCCCCACCCACAGCAGGGGGCACACTCTTGACCTGCTAATTACAAAGGGGGTTAATGTATCAAATGTTAATGTAGTTGATGTTGCTTTGTCAGATCATTTCTGTGTATTTTTTGACATGTGTTTTGCTAGCAAACCACCAGCTGAATTTACAACTGTTAGAAGAAGACACATACATGAAAACACAAGTGAACTGTTCATGGGAATGCTAAATTTTGAGAAAACTCCATGCTCTACTGTTGATGAATTGTATAACTCTGTCACCACCAGTGTTCTGACTGTTCTGGACGCCATTGCTCCTGTGACGGTTAAAATAGTTACCAGTAAGAAAAAGGCCCCATGGACTAAGGCAGACTCGGTTAGGGCACAGAAGCAAGAGTGCCGGAGGGCCGAACGGAAGTGGCGAAAGTCCAATTTCCAGGGCGATTATGAAATCTTTAAAGATGAGTTGGGTGAATTTAACCGGGTTCTACGTAGAACAAGAGAAATGTATTTTTCTGACATTATTGGAGGTTGCAGTAACAATTTTCGTGTTATGTTTTCAACAGTTGGTAGATTAACGAACCCCCCTGTAAAGTTGCCCCTAGAATTTTCCTCTAAATCTAGGTGTAATGAGTTCGCACAGTTTTTCGATGACAAAGTACAAGGAATCAAAAAACACTATCACCTCCACAGCACGTATAACAATGCAACAGCCAGAGAAGCTTTTTGAGCTAACTCACTTTGCACCTGTGGATACTGAAACTGTCAAAAAGATAATCATGAGTCTGAGCTCCTCCCACATGTAGCCTGGATATATTGCCCTCTAAATTTCTGAAGTCCGTCCTGAGCAGTTTGTTACCTTCACTGACACAAATAGTAAACATGTCTCTGTCGTCAGGAACATTTCCTATGGCCCTAAAAACAGCAGTCATAAGACCTCTCCTAAAAAAGAGCAGTCTGGATCCTGCGGGACTTCAAAATTATCGCCCCATATCGAATCTGCCATTTATTGGAAAAATTCTTGAAAAAGTGGCCTCCCAACAACTTACTGAATTTTTAACAATGAATAATTCTTTTGATATGTTCCAGTCTGGGTTTAGACCCCACCACAGCACTGAGACCGCTCTAGTGAAGGTAACAAACGACATTCGACTTCACACTGATGCAGGTAAAGTCACAGTTTTGGTCATGTTAGATCTTAGTGCCGCGTTCGACACTGTCGACCATGAGATCCTCATGCAGAGACTGGAGGACTGGGTTGGTGTCACTGGCACAGCCCTAGACTGGTTTAGGTCTTACCTGGAGGATAGGAAGTACTCTGTGGAGATTGGAGACTGCGTCTCAGATTATGTGGCCCTGACCTGTGGTGTACCACAGGGGTCGATCCTGGGACCTCTCCTATTTAATCTCTACATGCTGCCGTTAGGTCAGTTAATACAAAGAAACAAAGTGTCCTACCACAATTACGCTGACGACACTCAGATCTATGTCTCACTGACTGCAGGAGAACATGGACCACTGGATTTGCTCCTTCACTGTATCCAACAGATCAGTGACTGGATGCAAAATAATTTCCTCCAGCTAAATGCAGACAAAACCGAAATCATTGTCTTTGGTCCCCAGAAACAAAGAGAGGGCGTCATTTGTCAACTTCAGTCTCTCTCCCTACTTCCTTCAGACAAGGTCAGAAATTTGGGCGTAATACTGGACTCAGACCTAAATTTCAATAGCCACATAAAATCAATAACATCAACAGCTTTTTACCATCTGAAGAACATTGCCAAAGTTAGAAATATAGTGTCCAGGGCAGACTTGGAGATTCTTGTCCATGCATTTGTCTCCAGCAGGCTAGACTACTGCAATGGCCTGCTTACAGGTCTGTCCAAACAGACCTGTAAGCAGCTGCAGTACATCCAAAATGCAGCAGCTAGAGTCCTGACAGGAACCAGGAAGTATGACCATATTAGTCCGGTCCTCAGGTCTCTGCACTGGCTTCCTGTGGCTCAAAGAATAGATTTTAAAACGGCTCTGCTTGTGTACAAGTCTCTCCATGGCCTTGCACCAGAATACATTAGTGACATGTTGGTGTCATATGAACCGGCCCGGACTCTGAGGAGCACAGGGACTGGCCTCCTGCTGGTGCCCAGAGTGAGAACCAAACATGGGGAGGCTGCGTTTCAGATCCATGCAGCTAAGATCTGGAACAATCTCCCTGAAAATGTGAGGGAGGCGTCTACTCTGTCAATGTTCAAATCCAGGTTAAAGACTGTTCTGTTTGCCTGTGCATACAACTGAAGGATTTTATCTCCATTTTTAATGCACTGCTGTCATTTATTTATTTTTTTAAATTTCTTGTGTAATTTTGAAAGTTTTAATGGTTTTATTCTTTTGTGTGATTTTAATGTTTTAATTGTGTTTTAATCTTTTGTGTGATTTTAATGTTTTAATTGTGATTCTGGTGTTTTTATGTGATGATTTGTGATGTGGACTGTGAAGCGCTTTGTGTTGCCCTGTGTATGAAAGGCGCTCTACAAATAAACTTTGATTGATTGATTGATAAGCTATCACTTTCAATATACAAAAACATATACATGATGTTGGTCAGCAGAACAGAATGAGGATAATATAGCAGCTTTGTAAATCTAATCACTAACCAAACAATGATCTTGGAAAACAACAAGACAAGTAGTTAGCTGACTTTCCATTTGCCATGATGTGATAATGAAACCTTAGTCCATCGAAGTTAATTTCTTCTATTAGATGCAACTGTAGGAGATTATAAAAAGTAGAGGAATCATCAAATATTTTCTTCTGTGAAGGTGTCGTCTCTTGTTCTGAGCTCAGAGTCAGGAGATGAAGCAGATCCAGGTGAGCAGTCCAGCGTCTCCAGCTCAGATCACACTAGTTATATTTGTATATTTCTCACTCTGTCTCTCCTACTGCCCTAGTTGCAGCTGCTCTGTGGCCTTTGAACATAAACTTATGGAAATATATTCTGCAAAAATCACATTGACTTTAGCTGCAGCAGCAGCAGCAGACACCTGAGCTTTTAGAGCTCAAAACATCTATTTACTTTGACATGGCTGAACAGTGCACCACGGCCCCTGACCCAATCCTGATTTTGAAGACCATATAGAGCTTCAATGGAGCTGCTGATGAACAAATATTTCACACAACATTTGACACAAAGACCTTAGGCACATGACCTCCTTTTCTTCACTGGAGTCTATGGTTACGGTGTGATGCTAACGTTGCAACTGCCGATGCAGGAGGGTCTAATGACAGTGGTGATGATCCAGGACACTTGACATTCAGCAACATTTATGAACATTGGTCATCTGCCCCTTATGGACAAAAGGATTTTTTTTTTCATCATCTGTGTTTGAACTGTTTGGTTCTCTGATCTGTGTTGGAAAATCGACAGTTTTGTAAAGTTCTCGGAGATAACTGCTGTTGTGATTTTGGGCTATACAAAATAAATGTAATTGAATTAAATTACCTTTTAGCTTATGTTCAAGTCAACTTTTTCCACATAAAGGCTATCCCATTATGGTGATGCCACACCTGGCCTGTCCACTTTTAATCTATGGTCTATGATTGGGTACGTAGACTTGTTTTTTGAGTTTTAATTTTTCTGGTCCCAACTAACTGTGTGGTTGCTGTGTGTTACAGCGGCCATTTTAGATGAGCAGGTCTCGTGGTGCGGCCGCGGAGAGCGTGCAGCGCTTACTCTGGCCAGAGACGACGTCAATGAACAGCTGCAAGGTTCACGAGGAAGTGTCGAGGTTGAGGTCTACGAACTGCTACAGGACTCTCAGTACCACACAACTGAGACCAGTGAGTACTTCTACATCTACTTCTACTGCTATTCCTACAGCTACAATTACCACTACTACTGCTGCTTCTACTGCTACTGCTGGTTCTACTGTTTCTGCCGCTGCAACCACAATTGTTTTTTTCTACTACTTTGTGTCTTTTGCTCAAACAGCTGGAACCGGAATATTGGATGAGTATTTCAATCTCTGTCACTGGGCACTGTCTGTCGGGTCACCAGCACAAAACCACACCACCAGCACACACACACACACACACACACACTCACACTACACACCAATCACTTCACTAGTTTCCACATGCATGTGTCTTTAGATCAGCTTTTTCAGACCAAAGAATGAAAAAGGTTAGGACCACCCTCAAGAGTCAAGTATAGATAACATTGTTTAAATGTTGATTTTGAACTACAGTTGAACCTGAATCGCACACACAAACAGACATATGTAACCAAGTGGAGCTAGGCTAGGGGTCCCATACCACAAGGTAGGCAAGTCTGGCAACAAAACACGAACGAAGCAGAAGTAGTGGAAAAGATACAAAAGTGTTATTTTGGACACAGAAATAAATTGATAAAAAGAACCTTTTAATAAAATAGATAGATAAATACTGTATTGATCCCCCATAGGAGAAATAGAAAAATGTAAGAATAGCAGTGATAAACGCAAACACTTTTAAGGAAATGCAACTGAGAAATTAAAGAAACAAAATTTGTATAAAACCCAAACCAAACATTAGTAAACAAAAACACCAAAACAAACCAAATCCCCCTAATTACTTAACCCCACAAATGTTCTGCAATGTCTTAAAGTGCTATTTAACTTGTTACAGTAACCTTTTGAGTGCTAAAACAGGATTTACATTCTTAAGATTTTAAAGAGCCAAACCGAACAGCAGCGGCTAACTGTTGGGTAAATCACAAAAGCTACAGGTTAGAATTAGAGCTACATTTAAAGCAAACTCAACCTGTGTGGAAAGATTGTCATGTTGATGTGCGTCGCTCACACATCAACCCGGCGCCAAGTGAACCTCGAGCCTGAAGCGGACACCAGCCAAATCTTTAACATGTGAAGAAGTTCTACTCACTCGTCTCCCCCACACACGACCCACCCCACGACACGACCAGCCCAAAGCTCCAGAGGTGTGCTCCTATGGTGTGCGCACCGGTTATACCCTGTTGTAATAAACCGTCGCAGCTTGTAAATATAGAGCGAGGGAGTGGGGCCATAGGAAACCCATTAGGAACCCGCCTGGTTACACATAGTTCAGGCATTCCTTATACTTGGTTGCCATATCCAAGGAGACATGTCCTCACGGAGACAGTGCACAGAGCAGCACCCTCCTTGAGAGCAGGTCTGACCCAGGACAAGAGGAAACACCTCAACGAGAGAAGGAACAATGAGCAAAGACCTTCCTTATCAACATGTAAAGTGACCCTCCTGTTTACATGTAAATAGTAAACCAAAAACTTCAAACAAGGCCCATGTTTCCTCTTGGCAAAATTGATTAACATACAATCCACTTTGTCCAGACTGGCTGGAGCCAAAGATGAATGACAATACAACTACGCAAAATGTAGTTCAGCCACATATGAATCATTAAAATTATAACTCAAAAACAACATTTCAATGACACATAGTTATATTTGCAACGTTTTACTTTTATAAGACTCTGTTGGAGAAACTTCATGTGTTATTTGTGAAAATGTAGGTACCTGAGCATTAAAGCTCCTCTCTTCTGCACCGTCTGTCCTCTCCTGTAATGCAGTACGTATTTCTCATTTTAAACCCAAATAATCTATTTTTCTCAAATTTCTTGCAGTGTGCCAGATCTTGCCAAAGGGTGTGGTGGCTGTGATTGGCCCCGCCTCTAGCCCCGCCTCTGGATCCACCGTGAGTCACATCTGTGGAGAGAAGGAGGTACTTTATTTATTCTTTCATTAGTGGTAAGGATCCATCAATAATAACAATCAGATATCGGCCAATATTAGCAGTGAGTCCTTATCTTTTACTGTGATGAGTATAAATATTGTGAACAATTATATAAGCAGAAATAGATTCTGATTATTTTTTCCCGGATTGCCCAGCCTGTTGCCCAGCAGTTTTTTGTGGGTTTGTGTAGTATCAGATTGTGTGTATATGTGTGTGTGTTGTATGTAATGTTGTTGTGTATGCGCTTCCTCAGATTCCCCACGTTAAGATCGGCCCTGAGGAGACCCCGAAGCTCCCGTACCTCCGTTTCGCCTCAGTCACTCTGCACCCGAGTAACGAGGACCTGAGTCTGGCTGTGGCCTCAGTCCTGCGGTCCTTGGGGTTCCCCACAACCAGCCTGATTTGTGCCAAGGCTGAGTGTGAGTGAAAACGGGTCTGGACCAGGTCTTGAAAAAGTGTTTGTAATAATCCAGTTTTTATTATAAAAGAGTAAACCCCCACCTGTCACGGTTCTGGATAGGACCCAAATGCAGAGAGACTCTCACGCACCGCTTGCATGATCTTGGTAATACGGATATTTAAAGCAGTGTTTTCAACCTTTGAACCGTGGCTCGTTAATTATTTAAAAACAATCACATGCACAGTTGAAACTGGTGCTGGAAAGAGAACTGCAGCTTTTAATGGACGCTGCATTTAGTACAAAATGGTTTGTTCAGACAATTAAAGTTTGAAAAATGATTTAAAGCATTTCTGAATTTTGGCTAAAGGTGATATTGGATCATTTCTGATAACACATAGACGCAACACTGTTCATTGGTTGAAAACACGGATGTAGGGACATTTTATGAAATCTTTTATGACATGTTTCTCTTCCAAATAGCGAAATTAGAAACAATTAGGACAATTATGTCTTTGATAACTGTTGGCAGTTTATCTGAGACATGATTGGTGCAAGTACACACACATAAAACAATGGTCTTTTCTCCACATGAACGTGAAACAAAGGTGAAGTATTAAAGTTTGAAACTAATTTACATTTTTAAGGAATCCGAACTGGCTTTAAAAAAAAAAAAGGGAAAAACATTTATTGCACGTGCATGAGTTTTTTTTAGTAACAAGAGCTCATTAAAAATATAGGGGACACAGTTTGTGACAAGCCCGAGTAAAGACCACGTGGTTTAAACACTAAAAGTTTGAAATGGATCCTTTTAGGAAAAATCTCTCAAAGCTTTGCATGTTCTGCAGGCTCTGAAAGTTGCAACTATAAAATAGCTCATGAGACAATTGTAATTGGACATGGAAAAATATAACAAAGTTAAAATTACAGGCCTCTTGTGTTGTCTATATGTTTGTGTATGTTATATGTTTGTGTATGTTATATGTTTGTGTATGTTATATGTTTGTGCGTCATGTCCAATACACTACGTTGACCTTAACAAACTGGACCAATACTAACGTGGGGTGTTGTGAGTGTGTTGTGAGTGTGTTGGGGAGTGAACGAGGAGTGCTGAACGGAATCATGGAATAACAAAAGTTTTCTGTAATGTTTTAATGTGATCATGGAATAATTATTTTTTGTCAACAGCATACGGTGTAAGTACTAGAGATTCAAAGATGACAAGCTTTATTGAACAGGTGTAAAAGTGAGAGTACTCTGGGATGAGTACTCTGAGAAAAGTACTCTGCGGAAAGTACTTTGAGATGAAATACCTCGCTGAAGGTACTGGGGCCCCTCCCTCTGCTGTTTGCCCGGACAGTGATTCGGTCCAACCGCAGTGAGCGGTCATTGGGCGGAGGACAACTTTGGTTTGTAATTCACATTTAGGGGAGTATAAAATTAGAAACATACATATTGTTAAGTCTGTATTTGGCTACAGCCTCTGCCCTGATGCCACACACCGTCTGTCAATGCAGTTATGTTTTGCCCAATTGGATTGATTGACAGGCCGCACCATGCGAAGAGAGGAAAGTGGGCGTTTCTTGTGTTCTAATGTTTGTTTTTCAGATGAAAGATAAACTGCACCTGCTTCAGGGATAACACAGTAGTATGGATCATAAGGAAAATGAGCCTCTACTTTGGCACCAAAGCCCACAATATGAATTGAGGACGATCCGGGAGGAACAACTGAAGATGATTGGAACAGTAATCTACACACACATACAGATGCATGTTTTATACTTTGGACCACGACCAACAGAGGGAGTATAGTAATGTTATTGTCATAGGTGGTCATGGTCCTTAACCTTCTAAATCATTAGAAAAGAAGTGTAAAACATATATTTACAAGAATAAATAAATAATAGAAAGGGCAGCCTAAAAAAGCAAAATGGGAAAATTATTAAGTAATTTTCGGAGTTGCCAAAATGAAATAAAATTCTATATTTGTTGTCCCATAGGGGGTCATTCTAAATTTAGTGTTGTGCAAATTTAAAAGGAGAAATAATAGCGCTTATAACATCAAACAGATCTACTCTTTAAGATAATAGATCATACAATAATAGAATAGAATGAAATAGTCTGGAGCTATAATGTCATTGGATTCGAGGAGCTATAGGTTGAAAGGTCGCTAGGAAGAGGTGTCAGAATAAACAATAGTAATAATAGTTAGACTAGTGAATAATCAAAATAGTTCTATTGTGGAAATAAGTATCAATAAGGTCAAATTGTTCTAATAACTAAAGTAAAAAGGAATCAAATGGAGTCAGATTTTAGATGTTTCTGTTTTCCACATCTGTAGGAACTGGTGCAGAGGTGTTTATAGAGAGTAGTATTAAAATGCAGACATAGAACGACAGGCTTTAACACAATTTTAAATCTAAAAATAGCTCAAATATAACATTGCTCTTGACGCAGCCTCTGAGCTGCTCCATTGGAGAACAGGTTAAATGTTATTGTTTATTACAAACAGCTGATGTATTTACACACATTAAGTTTGGGACAACTCTTTAAACAGTTTATAAGCAGCGGACAGAAGCCATGAATGTGCTTTTGTTTATTAAATAATTAATTTCATAGCCTTATAATCGTAGAGAACGTTTTAAAATAGTTAAAATCCCTTTCAGGCAACTTGATTTAGATGTATGTCTTTAATATTGGAGAACGACTGTGTTGTTTTTGGAATTGTCTGAAATACAATACATAGAATAGTGATTTGCAGAACAAGAACCAGCCAATGAAAAATCGTCTATTGCCAATGCTATTGTTACAATCAGAACTCAAAAATTGGGAATATGCCTTTGCTCAAGCTGCAACCGAGCTTTAGAGTCACAATAGAGTAAAAATAGGAATAGATAAATGCATCAACCATAGATGCTTTCAAAAATAGAGATTATTTTTAGCCAAGGCTAATATCAAACGGTAAAAGGACCATTTCCTTCATATTATGTCCAAAAGTATTTACTTCAAAGGTAGATAAAGTTCATTACAGTTTATGCACAGGTTTATTAGATACTGTCAAATTCGCTTGTTTTCAAACATCTGTGAATGTTGACAATGCAAAAAGTTAAAGAGATAGATTAGAAACAACAGAGATTCAAAAACATTTAAAAGCATTTTAATGTATTTGGGTATAGCACAAAAGTAGATATTTAGGTATTTTTTGAGAATTTTAAGAGCTGTCGACTTGTCAATATGGATTAGAAAATCGAATACCATGGTAGAGTAACTGACCCCAAAAACCTGGTAAAATAGATTAGCTCCTGTACGGATAATACCAATTTGATTAACGATGTACATTTATCCCAAAACTGTCTGAGAGGAGGAAGTGACAGCACTTCCTGGTTCAACAAAATGTGTTTGGAAAAATGAGCAAAGCCCCACAAAATGGCACAGAGCCACTGATAATGACAGCAAACCACAGTATAGATAGATTTATTAGATAAAAACATATGTTTAAGAATATGGCTCAATAAAAGCAAAGATGCAAACATATTTGTGAATAGATTAGAATAGTTTAAACTATAGTGAATAGTTTTAGTGCATACATTACAGACGAGGTTGAAGAAGAATCAGAATGACAGCAGTGGTCATCAAAGAGTTTTGTGAAGGAATGTTTCGAATGTTGTTGTGTGTGTATTCTTTCTGTATTAACTCTTCACAGATAACGAGCCAGAACCAAGAACCAAGGCGATGATGGACGAGCTCCCCAGTCTCGGCACCCAGAAGGAATATTGAAAGATTGTGACCTAAATTGGTTTAATATAGGTCAACAGAGGGGAACTGTTGTATATTTTAATATTTGACCATTTGAACATCATAGCCAGAAAGACCTCCGTGCACTCAGGAAAAACCCAAGGACACAGGATAATCAGACATGAGTCATAAAGATAAAATGCTGTTTAAACAGGGCGAATTATTAACTTTAAATAATAAACATTTTGACGAGGACAAGAGTTCAGAACCTGAATCTTGAGGCAGACTGGGAGATTCACCAATTGCATTCTGACGCCTCCCAGTGGACAAGGGACGTCAGCACACCCGGAAACTCCACCCCTTGGACGCATAAGGATGACGTCATCGGAAGTCTCCCTCATGAGCCCCTGTGTGTGTGTTTTTTGAGGTCAGACAGGACAGGGCACGGACAGGGGAAGAGCAGGCCTAGAATAGGAGCACTTTTGTTGAACATTCTGTATCTGATTGTAAAGATAATTAAATGCAGATGTTAAACGTGAAGATCTCTTGTCTCGCTCTTGCATCGACTTTGGATACGTCAGTCAAAGGGAATTATTGACTTCAGTACCCGTCTGGTGCACACTAAGGATTTTCACACATGTATTCCAATGTGGTTTTACTGCAAATGGCAAACAAACTGAATCTGGATCTCAAATATTTATACTTAATTAAACCGCAAATAGATATTGGTTACTGGCCTCTTATGCTGTTAATCATTGGTTCCAGCCCTGAACAAACCAAACCAGGTCCGAGCTACTGTTATTATCCTCAACAAACAGAAGACAAAAGAACAATATGTCTCCTCTCTGCAGGAACCATAGCAACAACAACACATCATATGTTCTTGCTGCTTGTTTTAGTCACTTAAGTAATACGTCAGCATTTTCATTTAATCTGTGTTTACTCACGCCCCTGTGGACCAATGCACAGACTTCTCCTCCACACACTGGGACTATAATACATCAGATGGGCAAAATTAAGACTAAAGCAACAACGTTTAATTTACAATGTGTAGGAAAAGGCGGGAGACAGACGAGACGTGACAAACGGAGGAGACACCCGTTCATTTCGAGACCAACGATGTAATTCCAGTGAGAGCAGCCTTAACACTGATCCTGGCATGATCCATGTATTAGTGTTGTGTTTGTGGAAGCAGATGGAGGCGGCTGAGGCTGTCGATCTCAGACGCACACGACAGATGAGTGACAGATGGGCATCACACCAGATCTGCCGTCGCAAGTATGCAAT